AACAGGCTCATCATTCAGAAGTTAGGGGTGCTAATTGATATACTAAAAGAAGCAGAGGCAATTAATTAATTAATTCCATTAAATTTGTTGGTATTTTTTACCGAAGATCCAATAGTATTTTTTCCAGTAAAATATTTTTCTGGAAATGTTGAAACAATGTTTTAGTGGAAGAAATTCAATGATAATTCTTTCACATTGGCTAAGCTAGTTTAACGCCATCTATGTTAATGCAGCTTAGGTAATATGTTAAGAACAGAAATTCATTTTTTGGTCAGCAAAAGAAAGAAAGCAGAACAAGCATGGGATTTTTTCGTTTGGTTGGTTTGGGGTTTGGCTTTTTTTGTGGTTTCTTTTTGTGGGTTTGGGGGGGGGGTTTGGGGGGGGGTTTTTGTGTGTTTTTTTGTAATTATAAGTAATCTGATTTCTTGGTTGATTTATAAAAAACTATTTAGGAATCAGGAAAGCAGGTTTTATGATGGCAATTAACAGCCACAGTTCTGTTTCAAATCTGATGCCTGTACAGTATTCATTCCACACATCACTTTTGGAAAATGCTTTAAGGAATAGCATTCTTATGCTGTGGCATTACTGCAGATTTAAAAGATCATTTAAAAGATCATTTTTCTGGATCATTCAGCTTCATTAGAATACTGAAAGCTCACCTACAAATAAATTCTAATATTTATTTGCTGGAAAAATATGTACCAATTGTTTACTACTTCTCTTGGCCTTGAATTCAAGAAGGACTGTAGCACTAAGATAGATACATCACCATTACTTTTATTACTCCTCTCTCTAGGAACACTGATAATTGGGGTTTTTTTGGAAACCATTTTTCTGCTTGATTATCTGCAAAGTGAGATTGTATTGTTTTCCACCATTACCTCCACCAATGATACTGTACTTAGCCTCCAAGAAAAAACAGCAGACTTTTGTAGAGGCCACAGAAATCCAGCAAAAGACAGTGATAAACACCCAGGACTAGAACTCTGTTCTAACCATATTATATATGCCACTATTTTGTTGCTTTTGAGGGATAAAAGACCTTGTGGAAGGCGTGCACTAAAAATGAGCATTCAGTAAGCAAACAGCAAATCAGATAAGGAGAATAGTCTAAATATAAAATTAAAAGGGGCAGAAGTGAAGAGGCTGTAAGAATTTTGTTGAATTCATGGAACTCTTAGGCCCGCTGATGTTTTGTTTCCCTAAAATACTCAGGAGGATGAAAATCTTTCAAAGTCAATCTGGTAAATATATATTTTAGGGCTCTGCCTATTTCTAGTACTTTCACCTTGTTTCTTATTAACTTTAGTTACTCGATAATCTTTATTGGGAATCTTGACTCTATATCCATGTTGCTAGCAACTTCAGAAACATATCTTATTTTAATTTGATTGTTAAAAATAGTGTCTTATGAAATTCCCACTGAACTTTGGTCCTGGCATATGTGCTCAGCTCTAAAAGTCTTCCATTTTAAATCACTTTTATCTTTAAAATCACTAAGGCGCTTCTCTCCAGTGTTCATGTGGCATTTTCTAGGCAAAAGAATTTAACAATTGAACTGAAAGCAAAAAAAAGAAAAAGAGTGACATTGAGGCATGGGCCTCAATGACTTGGGCCAAAACACAATATGTAATTGTCAGATGACTATGTAAGGTAATTTAAGATTCAGTGTAACACCATGTATAACAGTAGTTTGGAAAAGAAGGAAAGAAATTTATCCAGTCATGCAGAATCAAAGTCTCCCCGTGTAACTAATTCTATAATGAGCAAAATGAGGTGAGACTTTAAAGGTATATATGCTATATCACAAAATCCGGCACAAAGACTTGGCTACAGTAGCAGAATCTGCATACTGTTCTCTGTAAATTCAGTTTTGAAAGCCAAAACACCCTGGGGGAAAAAAAAGGAAACTTTTCCAATCCTCCAGCACAGATATGCTGAATGCGCAGGGCATTGTAATGGCAAGAGGAGCATCTCCATCCTGGACCTGGAGGAAGACAGCTGTCACTGCCATTGGTACCCTTGGTAAACTGTGTTCCTGGGATGGAGCAGACAGAGGGGTCCTGCCACATAGTCAGGGCCTCTGGCCTCACAGGGCAAGGAAAACAGGCATTTTCTGCCTGCTCCTAGGGAGCTTTGCACTTTGTCCCTGACATGGGCTGCAGCACAGCACACAAGTTGGATTTACTCCTGTTGTTGTGAGCCAATGGGCAGTGGCAGAGGCGTAAAACAGCCCCAAGTGTTTGGCAGCTGCTCTGCTGTGGCTCCCCCGATCCTGTGGCCTGTGCAGCAACATGCTGAGGGCAGTAGGATGATCTGTAAATCTGTAAAATCCCTTCCTGGAGCATGGACATTCTTAAGGCAGTCTAGATGTTGTGTACTTCTGATTTCAATCTACAGTGGATTTCATACAGACAAATCATAAACATCAGGAAAAATTAATGGAATAATAAAATAAAAATGTGAATTTAAACATCTAAAAATGGATTTCAGTGAAAAAGTGGGAGTTCCTTGCTTTGGAAATATGGTAACACTGGGATATGGCCACTAGTCATCAGTATGGCTCTGCTTTCCCTCATTATCATGGTCTGCCTGAGTTTTGCTGAAAATGCAAGTCACGCTAATAAGCTAAATGATGAAGCAATGCAGTCCATGGAACTGGCCTCAAATGGATTGTTATTATTATTATTTAATTTTACTGGATAGCATGGATATGCTTTCTCAATGTGACAAATACTGATGGGAGTACAGATCTGCAAATATGTTAATGGTAGTTTTTCCACTGCTTATATTTTTAACACAGAAATTTCAAGCAAACTCATCTACAATTAGGTGATCTTTTCTCTCCTCTCTCCTCGAGGCCATGCTATGCACTCCTGGCAGCTTCTGGGCACAGCCAGTGTTGTACTCAGAAACTGCTGTCTGGAGCAGAGATGAAGTGTTCTGAGACCAGGTCTGCACAACAGAACCTTTTAAGGGGACACTGGAGGAACACATGGACAAAGCTCCTTCCATAGCATGTACTGAATTTAAAGCTGACCTGATCAAACTCTTCATAATCTCCACCGCATGCTGAGTGCACATCCAGCCATGTGACGGGACAGTTACTTTTGGCTACACAAAAGCCAAAAGTTGTCTACTACACCAGTAGTCACATGGTGGGCATATATGAGTCCCCCCACACACACCAGGCAACCAGGAAGGCACATTGCTGTGTGATGCTAACAGTGCCCTATCCATCATGTGCTGGGCTGAGGAGAGGAGCAGTCTGGGTGCCCTGACAGCTCTGCCATCACACTGAAGTGCTGCCATGGTTTGAGCAAAATGAGTGGGAAGGAGCCAGATGGAGACCAGGCCCTGTCATAGAATGGCTTGGATTGGAAGGGATCTTAAAGATTATCTAGTTCTTATACTCCCTGCTGTAGACAGAGATGCCACCCACCGCATCAGGTTGCTCAAGGCCCTAACCAACTTGGCCTATGGGCATCCTCACACTACTCAAAGACATGCACAGGCTGCAATGTTGTTCCACCTACAAGAACCTGGTCACAGAGGGGCCACTCTGTTGTTGCATCATCATCAGTCCCTAAAAAACACAGAGGCTTCAGGTGGCAATATTCTAAGAAAGAAAGGAATGGGTCTGTTGGAAAAGATGGTGAAGGGGAAAGAATAGCAGGGGTCCACCTCTGCTGCAAGAGAAGCTAGGGAAAGCGTGTGGTTGGATTTTTGTGAGATCAGCTGAAGGCACCTTTGGATTATTGACTTCTTTGCCAAAGATGTATTTTAAATTTAACATTTGTCTATGATTTTTCTCTTCCCTGAGACAATTCATTATTTTGGCCTGGCATCAGCTATATTACTTTGGCGTAACACAATCCTTCCTACAGACATATTATAAATGTCAGGAAAAAGTTTATAATAGAAGGGCAGAGAGGAGCCTGAGAGCCCAAGGCTAGGAGCTGCTCTGCAGAACTGCATGCACCCAGCACTTGGCCCATAAAAACTCTTGTTTGTGGAAGACCCACCTGCTCTGCCCTTCAGTGGCATCTAGGATGTCAGCAGAGCTGTCGATCAGGACAAACTGCTGCTTCTAATGCCATTAAGCAGAAGACTTCGGCACGGTGTCAGTGTGTATTTAAGTACTAGGACATCTGCTCCTTCATGGAACAAGTTATTTTCATTATGAAAGCATCCATAATGTCATGGGTGCTATTCAAAATAAAAGACATGTCAGTAGTATAACTTTCAAACAGCCTCACACCTGACACGTGACTGTATCTAATATGATTAAGGTGGCACTTTTACACTTTGCCACCAAAGTTGAGGGGTTTTGTTTAAACTAAGTATAAAATCTAAACGTTTTACAATTCCAGGCAATTTAACGTAACTTAGGTTTTTGGTGGCCTGTTGTTATCAAAATCTCTCTCAATCTTGTTTTCAGAGTGAAAGGATAATCTTGTTAATTCACTGATCTAGGATTTAGAAGCTCTGAACTCTGTATCCCAGTCTGCCACAGACCACAGCTAGCAGGGGCACTGTAATCCCTCCGGTTTTGGATGGTAGACAACCCGGGAGAGGGAACCTCCCTTATTTAGTATTTGCAGTATTTGGTATGCCATTGTAATACAAATCATAGCTGCTGCAGTGTGGGAAGAACCTAACAAAGTCATTGAACTCTTCTTGGTTGTGTGTCAATATCTGCTGAACCGCCGTAGGAAATGTGCCTGACAGATGCAGCTCGGTTACCCAGCACAGGGCTGGGCTGCAGCAGCACCAGTCCAGCCGCCGCTCCAGTGAGCAGGGCTGTCTGGTGGCCCCTGTAATGTGACAAGCAGAGTGTGACCGGCAGCAGGGGGTCTGAAATAGCCATACATTCAGCTTCTGGGACCTGAGGAGCGAGTAGCTCAGAACTGCTAGCCAGCAGCAGAGCTGCCATGCTGCCCCTCTCCTCGCTGCTGAAGGCTCCAGGCAAACCACAAACTGCTTAAACCTGGCAGGGAAACAAGAAGAGATAAATCAATTTAAAAGACAGTTCAGCTTGATAAACCGGATAAGTTTCTACACTTGCAAGCTCATGGCATCTAAACATTATGGTAATAGCTTACCAGGAGAGCAGCAAAAGTGATCATACATGTTTTCTTAAGCCATTCAGAACTCCCAGGGCCGGCACAGCCCCTGTGTGGACTTTGGCTGTGCCACCTGCCTTACAAAAGCCTGCTTTTGTAAGCAGGCTGAGCTTCATTGCACCCCTGTGCTTCATTGCTCAGGGGTGGTGAAGGGCACGATATGCTTGTGTTTTGCTGTTTTCTTCCCTGTTAAGTCAGCCTCAGGCCTATGAGAAACATTTTGCCAATTTAGCTTGTCAATAAGAACAGGTGGTTGCACAGCTTCCTCTAAAAAGTGCAAAAAGCCATCCAGCCAAGGACACATGAAGGGTATAAATAGAAGTATGTGGGGACAAACTCAAGGGCAGAAGCAGCCCAGGTGAATGGTTTTGTTGTCAGCAGAGCACAGCTCCAGGGCCTCATTACTGAAGGTACAAATGAAGGCAAGTCCAAACATGGGAAGTGTGTTTCAGTGAGATATAAGCTGCAGTATGACTGGAACACGCTATTAGAGAGAGCATTCATAATTTTGTTTCTGCAAAGTGTATTTAAACATGAGTGCCAATATATGGAAATGGTTCTACAAAGTATCAATCTGAGCCATTTGCATCATGTGCTAGGAATAGTCCTAGCTTCTCCCACCCTGTCCATAAGCTTTTCCTCTTCACTAAAGCACGTTCATATTCGCTGTTCACACAATTTTCTCTGCTCTCCCTCCTGCTTTACCACCTTTTTCCTTCTGTCTCCTCTAGTTCTGCTTCAGAAGAGTTCTGCTTTCAAATACAGACATTTAGAATGAAGTCAGTCAAATTATTAGACATTCTGCATGTAAATTTCATGTGTCCCACAGACCAGCTGGACAGTCCTTTTCTCTGACCCGTCAGTCTGCAGGCCTGCTGTGTTCTTAGATTCCCCATCTCCAGACGCCAGTTGTTTGCCCAGCCTGCAGAACGCAATTGAAGATGAGCAGAGCATGCTATTGTATATTCAGAACAGCTTTTCTTTCAGTTTTTCAGATCATTGTTATTTCTGTGTAACCTGATTAAAGTAAACATCCTTAACTGTGCTGTTTCTTTTTGTAGACATTTACGAGTATGCTATCCCTGGTTTACCCTAGGTGATGGGTCAAAAAGTTCTGCCAAATTTCTCCCTGAGGAAAATTTGGATGACAGCCATCTCACTGCCAGGATGTAAAACATTATATGCTCTCATTTAGCCTGCATCTTTTCCAACTGCAGAGAACTCTCTGAGTTTTCCGGAGATGGGACATCAGGCTCAGTAGCAGGTCTGGTCAGATGCAGAGGAGATTTATAAGAATTGGTTTTCCCATGTATCTCTTCCCAGAAGATGTCTTTAAAGCATTATGACGGAGAGAATTTTACTTACTAACTTTGTTCAGAGCACTCACCAGTTTCTTATGAAAGCGCATCTTTTTCTGCTTTCAGGCATCTTTTCTACTTTCAGGCAGTATCCAGCCTCTGCTTTATTCCAACTCCTATTGGGCTGGAATATTTTTCAGACAGACATGTCCCACATGACAAATAAAAAACACAGGAGAAACATGATGGGCCTTTAACTCCAGATATAAAGGTATAAGGACATCAGTAAAACAATAATAAGCCAAATGAGGACAAGAGGATGGCACAAGATGTCTTAGTCTCACACTGTTGTCTTTGCGTAAACACTCTATTGAACTCTGATAATCAATAACATGGTTTGGTTTTGTAACTGGAAGGATCCAAGGAAATCATAGAATCCTTAAGGTTTGAAAAGACCTCTAAGATCAGCAAGTCCAACTGTTAACCCAGCAACCACCATGTCCACCACTCCAATACAGGGACTACTTGTGGTTAGTAACCATGTCACTTGTTAGTAAATTAACAGCAGCACTGTCATTATCAACAACTCTTTATCTTTCTCCTACCCCCAAGTTTGCTAGCCATCAAAAACTCTATTCCTTTCCTTTGCTTCCCTTTCCTTCCCCTTCCCCTTTCCTTCTCCTTCCCTTCCCTTCACTTCCCTTGCCTGATAGACCATGCAAATATTTAAGGTACTACATTTGACATCAATAAATAAAGTGTGTGCCCTGATCCTCAAAGCTGAGAATCATCTAGTTCCTCCTTAGATTGTACGGCACCATATATTATTTATGATTTCCCTATTGTTCTTATTTCTTTTAAGTAAACAGGATAGGTATAATCTCGCTGTAGAGAGCAGACTTGCTCAGAAGTGAAATTTAGTATCAACTGCAGGATTGAATAAACTTTCTTTAGATTAAATAAAAAAAGGTAGGAGCTGAGAAAGAACTTTCTTTTAAAATGTATCTGTGCTACTCACAGAAAAAAAATATTCCTAGCTGTTAATACTTCCAGAAGGAATTTATACTACAGAATCCTTATGATCCTTACTGAATTATGATGTAATTAAAAACACCCTATAGAGGAACCTTTATGTAAAGCCTAACACTCTCTATAGAAGTGAGTTGTTGATGAGCACGGTTGAAGTGTTCTTGCTGGAGCTGGTTTTGAGCTGTGAAGCTCACTGAGACAGAAAGCAGCATACCTTGAGATTTTCTCTTGCTCCAACTCCACTGAGATCACTTTAGAACCTTCACTTCAGGGCATGGAAATGTCATGCTTGCCTTTGCTCAGCACAGCCTGGAATCTGTGCTGCTTCATAAAGAAAACATCAGTGATTCGCATTTACAATGTGGAGGGAAATATCATAATTACATGCTAAAAGCCTCAGTATATAGGAAGTTCCTGCAACTGATGGCAGCCTAAGTAAGTTTAATGCTGACTGCAAGTCAGTGACATAAACCATTCCAAATACAGTCTGTTTACAATTTCAGACACACTCGAAGTGCTGGTGGGAATTTCCTTTTTGAAATTTGCCTAGCAGACTAGGCCCAAGAGTCAGGTAGTGGCAAAGCTATTGTTCTCAGCCCAGCGGGCTGCAGGAAAAAAGACAGTTGCTGAGTCAGACAGAATATCCCCTGGACGCTCTGGCTGCAGACTAGCCTTTAGAAGACCTGCCAGCTCACCTAAGGGTAAAATCAAAGCTTAAAAAAGCCAATACAGTTCATAAAGAAGGAAATTCATTTTTAGGATACCATTTTTTGGTATTTTAACTTAGATTTGTGGTGAAGAAACCTATGGAATCTCGGAAAATCTGTATGCACAGTTTGTATAGTATCTTTCCAACCACAGCCACTGCTGATGTAGCCAAGAGCTCTGAGCGCTGCTAGGCTGCATGCTGCTGTACCTGCTCCTGTTACCATGGGAATGGATGCTGGCAAAAGGAGGATAAGAGCTTTAAAGTAATTTCGAATATAATTAGCACTTTCACCTTTCTGGAGATTGGCTCCCCAAAAGCCCCCAGATAGTAAACCCATCCAATTCAGACTCATCAATACAGCAATTAGTGTCTAAAGAGGCATTAGTTAACATGATCAATGTGGGAATGACACACAAAAGGCAGGCATTGTTGCAGCAGGGAAGCAGTGGGTTCCTGTGGCCTTCTTTGCCTATTACTAAAAAGGAATTCGGCTCCTTTGCTATGAGTCAGTGTTCCAGTTTCACCCTTAATTAATTCAGAGTCAAGAGAAAGGGCACTTATGTGAAGAGAAGCTCCCAATGATGGCTCAATGAAGTTTGCAGAAGAGAAGGAGGGGAAAGAAGTCATTATAGCAACAAAGTTTGAGATCACAGAGAGGAAGAAACCTCATGGGGAAATCTAAGTAGCAGTGTTTCTTATTACACTGGCACTGTCTGAATGAGGTACATCAGACAAAGAAATGCTCCTCAGAGTGGCACTACCCCTACCCCCTATGCACAAACCTTTCATCCAGGCAGCGAGTGCATCATTTAGTACACTGTGATCTGCACCCATTTCTACAACATGGCAAAAGCCTTCAAAGGTCTCTGTTTTGTCACCATCATCTCCTTTTTAACTATAGAGGTCAGAAGGGAATTTTGGAATTTTGTACAATTTCACGCTTCTTCACTAAAACCACAATAGCCTGCTTGTATTCAGGTTCAATACAGAACTCACCTTCAGTGACCAGTGAAGTGACTGCTTGCATAATTATTACTGTTTCTAACAACATTAACATTTGGCTGGATACTGCCTGAAAGGTTTTGGCTGTGATTATCTGGCAGAAAAAGATGCGCTTTCATAAGAAACTGGTGAATGCTCTGAAGAAAGTTAGGGCAAGATAGTAAGTAAAATTTTGTAGAAGATTTCTTGGCTTACTAGTGGATCTTTACAATCTCTAAACACATACTGTAATTAAAAAAAAAGATATCAATTACCTCTATTCATCTCATAATATTCTCTTAGGCTGCCTTTGGACAGGGCTGGGCAGCAGAGCCAAGCTCCAGACAGAACCATCTGAAATGAAGCTGTGTCCCTGGGGATGTCTTTTGTGCCAGTCCTGCTTGTGGTGCGTCTATAGCCCCCAACCTGTTCTCTTTGGAGTGTCTTATTACTTAAGCATTATCACACAGTCCAGTCATTGCACAGCAGAGCAAATAAAGCATCTTTGTACCTCCCGTTCCCATCAACAGTGATCTGAGGTAGCACAGTGATCTTTCACATTGTTAGATAATTATGGGGGGGGGGGGGCGAAGAGGGAAGTTGCTTTAAGCTATGTATTGTTGTACAGCTATTTCTCATGCATCTGGATTTTCAGGACCCTTTAAGATATCAAGTAATTTTCTCCTATTTTTTCAGTGCAGGTTTTTTTTGTAAAGACACTGAGATCCAAAGATACTGTTATTCAACAAAATATGACTGAGACAGAAGATTATATCATCCAGATGCATTTGTCGTAGTCTGTCTCCCTGCCTACCGCTGTTAAATGCTTTCAAATGAGTGTGAGGGTTAGGCCAAATTCTTCCATTAAGGGCAAAACATTGCTGTGGGTAGAACGCTTCTCTGCTTTCCCCTTGGCTGGACAGCTTCCTTACAAGACAGCACCCTTGAGTCATTTGTGTACATGAAAGACACACATTTTATCATGGCTTGTTTCAGAGAAGACTAAGAGTTTTTCCTGCAAGGACAGATATGTAGGGGCAAGAGTTGTGAAGATCACCCATGTAGAGACTGCTGGAGGGAACCTGTCATGCCACCTGACTGTCCTGTCAGGAGGTACTGTGGCTGCTGGGCACTGTTTTGCTCCAACACACGGTTTGGACAATTTCCAAAATGATGTTGTCTGCTCCAGACACTCCAAGAAGCTTCCAAGATTCCTGGGCTCCCCAGCTGGTATACAGAGCCCTCCTGAATAGCTTTCATTCCCCAGAAAAACAAGACAGCCAAAGCCCTCAGTAAGAGCTTTACTTTCTTCACAGTCTACTGCCAAATTTCTTTACTAACTAGCTTTAAAAAGTTAAATGCTTAGAGACAATCCGCTGATGCTTGCATTAACCAAGTAACTGTCTTCAGCTGTAAGATGGACACAGCTCACACAACCATGGTGTGTTTTGTAGGCCAGCACAGCTACACCAGACTGAGTTCCAAGGCAAGCACACAAAGAGTTAGGAGGTGCTATAATTAAAGTATATAAGGTTAGGAGATGCATAATTATGTTCAACCATAATTACACCCACTGGTTACTTTGCTTTATGATATAGTCTTCAATTACATGACCACCTCTTTTCTTCTTTTCCCTATGGGATCCATGCCTGTGTCAGGACAGTCTACATGGCACAGCACAGCAGGACTGCCCAAATTGCCATTTAGCACACTGGGAAGTGCCTTTGCATTGCATTCTGTTCAGGACAATCTACCTTCTTGTGAAGTTAGGCTCGCAATAGAGATGTCTGAGGCATAAGAAGTCTGAGCTCACAGTCTAGAATGTTCTTATGCAGATTTGCAAAAAAAATTCAAATTTGCATGTCTGGCTTCCATATTATTAAATCCTGTATTTATAAATATCTGCTGAGAGCAGCATCTTTATGAGCAGCTTTCTTAACTATAGGATAAGAAACTACTTACTGGGCTGAACTTATTCACACAAAAGGCCTTATCCAGCCTCAGTTTCTGTAGTGAAATTCTTACTGACTAAAATGGGATCAGGATCATGCCTCTGGCACCCGCTATCATGCGTTGCTCCCAACAGAGCATTGTTCAGTTCAGCCAAACCAACAGGAAAAACTGCAAGAGCAATTTCTCAAATCAAAGCACAAACACATGCACATGGCATGACAGACTGGTAGGCTACTACTATTGCTCACACTGAAAAAGCGAGTCGTCTCTTCAGTGAGAAAGAAGTGGGAAATCTTTTTGTGTGCATTCTGAAGTGCAGAGTGGAGCACTCGTCTTTTACAGGCACTCACATGTCAGCATCATGAAGAAATATTTATACTGTGAGCAGCTAATAGTAATCTTTTGTAATTGCTGCTTATTAACATCCCCATACTTTTGAAGCATGGTAGAATCATAGTTTCAGTGATACTTTTGAAATAACTAATGCAAGACAATACAGAAGTGTAACTATTCATAATTTTAGGCTCCCTATCTGAAATAAATAATCTATATAGCAACTATACTGGTGGTACTAAAACACAGTCCCAAATGACAGGCTAACCTAAATCTGATTTTTAAAAAGATACCATTACACTATATTTCTACTTATAATTTAAAACCAGACAACTAAATCACGGAGTGTACTTGAAAATTCAAGATTACATGCACTGAGTGAAGGATATGAAGACCTTACTTTGGTTTAATTAGTAGTATAACTATCTATCCTGTGAAATAGGAAGAACTGCAAAAGAAAATTCAAAATATGTGTCTATCAGACAAATATGCAAAAGAGGAGTCCTAACAATAAGAAAACACAGATTTCAGAATTCATGTCTTTTTTATTTGCTGTGACCAACCTGGCAAACCATTCTATGAAATAACTTAGTGAGGCTACTTGCCTTCCTGCAGCAGAGCACTTGGCATGGCATTCTTGGCACCACAAACTCCATCAATAAATCTCAGCAAGATTTTTGGCAGCAAGAACAGAACTATTTCTACCTTCCTTTAATCACACTGGACAACCCAGAGCTGTTATGATTCAGTGCCCCTGGAACAATTGGAGAAGGTTTTTTGATGTATTACATTACACCAGCATAAATAAGATTAAAGATCTTACTATATATCTGGAAACGAAACAAGTATTTGGATAAAGTTGTATTCCCTTCCTCCATCCTCCCATAGCAATAAATATTTTTAACCTCAATCTGTTATTTATATCCTGTTTATAAACAGACAGTTGTCTTACCAATATCTCATTTACTCTAATTCATAATCTTGATATGAATTATATCTTTTCATGTTCCCACTTGCAAAAGTTAAAGTATCATATCAGATTTGACTATCAAGGAAGAATTAACTCTGAAGCTGAAGATTATAATCACCTTCTTGTTTGGTCCTACAATTACTACCCACACAAGTGTTGTCCCACTTTTAGTTTCAACACATCTTCCATACATACACAGCACATACACACTGTTGTCATTTGGCAAGTTGCTTTCCTGCCCTTTGATCCTTTCTTAGTCTGTGACATCTACATTTGTGTGTCATCCTTTTATCCACGTCTCCAGGTGTTAGACACAGAGGAGCAGCCACATAGATATCCAGCCCATTTCACTTGCAGCAGCAGCCTTGTCAGTAATTCTTCTCACCAGTAATTCACAACTCTGGCTTTGATGCCATACCACTGTTTTTGAACATACTATTGTTTGAAATAACTGTCTTGATACTGTCCTTCAGGCTTTAGCTTTACAGCTCTTCCCACACTGTGAGATTTCAGGTCTAAATGAGAACACAGAGGTAGTACAACACATATTAATTATTAATATTAATAGGATGGCTGAAATAAATCTATCCCTTACACAGAGATATTTTCTCTTATTAAAGTTACCTTAGCAGACATTTAAATATTTGGTGAACCTCACAGTTCATTTATTCTGTAAATTCATGCTGAGCAGACAGCTGACTTAACAAAGCTCCACTGGCTTTTAGCAGACCTGTATCAGAGAATCCCTGCTGAGGATTCATTTCCATCCAACAGCTACCTGAAAACACATCTTATTCATGTTAAACTCTAAACCTGGCCATTCTATTACAAAAATCTGGTTTTTATGGAAAGCAATATGTCTGTAAGCATCTCAATGAAAAAAATTAATAATTTTCTCCATTAATATTTCAGCGAATAGTTCTCAGTTAATATGTCAGGAATTTTTCAAGTTCTACCACTGACCAAAATCTAAATTATACAGAAAATCTCATGAAATAAATGTTGAGAAAAAAAGATTATACTGAAATCCAAAGCTCCAATTAAAAATATTAAAACATTTCAACCAGTACCAACTCTGATAAACCATTCCAAAAACCTCCTTCTCACCTACTTTTATGAACTCTCACCTAAACTGCGAAGTTACTTTCTACATGTAGTAAACTATAGTTTGGGCTTGCAGACCTGACTGCAAGTTAGGCTGCCCAACAAGTCCTATTATAATGACCTGTTTTCAATTTCTTTTAAATTTGCTGAACTGTAACAGTTTGAGCTGAAGTTCTTCATGCTGAATATGCTCCCCAGGCTGATTTCAGTGAGGAAAATGTTCCCTGAATTATTCTGGCTGTCTCTGAAATCAAAGAAAAGTATTATACATATTATTTCAACAATTAAAAACATCTGATAGTAACGCTTTAAAGTAAGATTTGAAACATGGCAGAGAACAAAAATCGTATTGAAATGTCCTTTCTGCTTTTGTCATGAAGATACACCTGAATTTGGCCTGGTTATATACCTCTAAGAATATGCAGTTCAGTAAAAACCTGCTGCAGTTATATAGCTAAAAATCTCCAAAATCCCTTGAAATGCTTGCACCTCCCACAGGTTAGACTGGGCTCAAATGCAAACGAGCCATTTTATCCCATGCAAGAGCTCCCTTCAGGCCACAACCACCGAGCTGAAGATGGGCAGACTATAGTAACAGCTGCTAACCCACTCAGGCTACAGCAAGATAAACCAGCAGAAATGTGGAAGTGCAGCTTGTCCCTTCTGTGCCCTCAGTGGTGAATTTTCTGGCAGCAGATAAGGAAGCCAGACAGAGCTCCCTGTTATTAGTGCAGAAGGAACAATCCACAAGGGAACTGACTGAACAATTTTTCTAGATCTTAAATCTAAAAAACAAACTGTACCTTGTGAGCTATTGTAAGTTCTGCACTTAAATCTGTGCTGTAGAAAAGATTATCTAGAAAGTATCCCATTATTTCCTTTATGATCTCAGTGGACTATATAATTAAAACCGAAATGTACTTTTGCCATTTGTTTCCTAGTGTTAGTCATTGTGTCCTCGTGAAATGTATTTCTCTCCACGTCAGGGACTTCTTTTCTTTTTCCTCCGAGACTGACAATCTAGTCCCTCACTGATAACCACAACAGCACCAGCACATAAGATCTGTGAAACTAATGGCATTACTGACTGAAATGTTCAGCACAAAGGGCCACCCAAGATCATTACCTTGTTATAAGAAAATTCAGAGCCAAAAGTAACAAATTACAAGGCTTAGAATTTATTTTAATTTTTATCTTTAATCATCAGAGCATTTGCTCAAGTGCTCTCAAAGTAAGGGTGGACATGAAAACATGTTGGTGGGTATGTTGAGAAAGCATGCAAAATAAGTAATTCTTTCCATAGCAATTCCTTTTGTGCATTTTAGTCACTGCAAATGCACTAGTCAGCAAAAATAACCTTGAATATTGTTGCTTTCACCATATGAATATTACTCTAGTACTTTATATGTCTCTTTGTATAACATAGACAAGAAATACCTTAATTTTATATTTTTGTGTTTATAATACATGATGCATTCATATTTGTGTTTTCTGGTGAAAAGTCAGAGCTATAAAGTTCTTTTGGTGAAGGGAAATTTTATCATCACTTTACTGATCTCTTCCTATTCATATTCAAATCTCCTGCAGTCATAACAAGCATCTTCTACTTTTCTGGCTGAAAATTATTCCTTTTTCCCCCCAAAATTAAACCATCTACAGCACTTGAATATTGGTTCTCTAAAGAAAAGGGAGATGACATAATCCACAATAACTACAGCATAAGGAGATAGGCATCCATGCTTACATTTTCAAATCCAAAAGAATGTTTGATAGTTGCCAAAATACCTTCTCTAGGTCTAACTTTTTAAATGTAGAGAGGGATATTCTTATCCTTGTTATCCATTCTGTGAAATACTTTAGACAAAAAATGGTCAGTAAGAGGAGGACAAAAACTTTTAAATGTTTGGCAAGTTACCATAGTACGGTTTTTCAGATCCTTTAACAATGGCTCTCACTGAGCTCACTAGATCCTCATTCTCTGAAAATCAACTTAAATAACTAAATAACTTAATACATCACTTAAATAACTAGCTCTGGACTCTGTATTTTAACATGTAAAATTGCAGCTATGAAATACTGTTAATACAGGTTACACATAGAGGAGTTATACTTTGTCCTTGGGGAAAAATCAAGTGGTTATTTATATTCCTTCCTTCCTTTACTGTCAGGCAGAATAAAAAAAAAATATACTCACAAACATAAAATATTTCAAGGCGGAAGTAGCCACAACACAGGCAAAGAGGGTTCACAGAGGCAAAACTGCTACCAGAGCACAAGACATAGCCAGGATTTATGAAAAGACATGAAGGGAACTTGTAACCTTCATGCTCAACCTGTATTTGCAATGTAAGATGGTTCAGGTTCTCTAATGACAATCTGATTAAAAGTGAGCACAGAAATGTTATTACCTACTAAAGGCATATCAAAAGAATCATATATTATGCCAAGGTGCACTGTTGCTTACATTGAAGTATCAATTTGCAAGTCACATACAAAAAGTTTTCAAACACTCTCAGAACCATTTCAGAATTCACCAGCCTGAACTCACAATATTATCCAATTATTAATAAAATTGTGCAACAGCCAAATCTAATTAAATATCAATAAGAAAATTATATTCTCTTGTCCTTCCTTTTAAACTAAGGAAATTCTTTTTCATTAAGTCTATAAGAGAAAATTAAGTCTCTTGTTTTCTAAGACATCTTGTTGATTTTTATGACATACAGCAATATTTCACAAATAAAGTACTTATTTGTTTTATTAAACAAACTGAACAACCTCCCTTTGACAAAATTTCTCCTCTGAGGATACTTAGCACATAGCAGAAGAGAAAAAGGCAATATAAAATATGAAATGCCTCAAAATTAGGAAATATCATATCAGTTAGATGCTAAGCTCTGCAATAAAATCCTTAGTGAGACACTCAACACTAGAAATGATTCATTTATTCTTTTACATCTAAAATTTTACTTCTGAAATTTCCAATTCTGCTGCTGCCTAAATTTATCTTCTGTGTTAAATTCTATCTTATCGTAGTGCTTCTGCACAAACCAAAACTGCTTTCTTATTAATGAAGTCAGCAGTGACCTTTGATGAAACTTTCCATTTTAATTAATGTTGTACAAAATTAAATAAAGGAAAATTATATCAGCAACTGAAACATCTCTGTTATCATGGGAAAGTAATCCAGAGAAGCATCATTTTTGTTACAGATGTGGGCCAGCAATAATAAAAAAAATGTTTCAATAATAATTTTTAATGTTTTGGGAACTTTGTTGATAACTGAACAAATGCTACTTTAATAGACCCATTGGGGATTTATTTAGCAAATTATACTACAGTGGCCTAAGAAATCACACCTGTGCAGCTTCCCAAACAGCATGCTGAGTTAGAGAACTGAGCCCAAATTAATCAAATATGCGTATCAGGCAAGTAGAATTTCTAGTCTCTGAGGTTTCTCCAGCCCAGAGCGCGCTTAAAGGGGCTTGATTTTCTCTTTTCCTCTTTTTGTTTTGAGATAGTAATTTGCAATCTCTGCTTTGGGTGTGGAATGTCCAGAGCTGAAAGAATTGAAAACACAAAGCTACTCACTCTGTCACCTTTTCAAAACCAAGGGACTCCATTACCTTTGGACACCAAGAAGAAATGGCACCCTTCTGCTGCAGAAACAGTCTGTATCTTGGATCTTTGTCAGTTATCTTCTAATTTCAAGATGCTTAAGAATCACAGAATACCAGGCTGTAAGAGGACATCAAATATTATCTGGTCCATGCAAAAGCATGGTCTACACAAGATGGCCCAGGACCCTTTCCATGTGGATCTTAAGAGTGTCCAAAGTTGCAGAATCCATCACTTCCCTGGGGAGATATTCCGATGGCCTATTGTTCTGTTAAAATTTTCCCTTTTGCATCCAATTGGAATCTCCCCAGCAGTATCTTGTACCCATTACCCCTCTTCTTCTCCATGTGGCTCCTCCTAAAAAGAGAATCTCCATCTTTTTTGTAGCCACCCTTTAAATGCTGGACCAGAGGGATAAGGTCTCCCCTGTGCCTTCAAGCTCCTCAAGGCCGAACAACCCCAGTTCCCTCAGCCTTTCTTCACATGCCAGGCTTCCCAGGCTTTTGATTGTCTTTGTGGGCCTTCTCTGCACCCTCTCCAGCCTGTGAACATCTGTTTTGTACACCAGGGACCAAAACTGAACAGTGTTCCAGCTGAGGCCTGACAACCAGAAAGTAGGGTGGAATAATGATTCTGACAAGCACTGGGCAAAGTGGGATAATTCTTCACCTCTGCTAGTGAAGCCCTTGTTGAAGCCACCCATCCTGTTGCCTTTCTTTGCTGCAGGAGCACACTGGCCACTCAGACTGAGCTGCCTATCCACCAGGATCCCCCCAGCTCCCTTCCCACAGAGCTGCTCCCAAGCCGGGTAGATCCCAGCCTGTGCTGCTTTCCTGGATTATGCTTTCCTGGATGCAAGATCTTACACTTGTCTTTGTTGAGCTTCACACTGTTCTCATTAGCCCACTCTTCCATCTTATCCAGGTGTTCCTGCAGGGTAGCATTCCCTTCCCAAGCATCCACTTCCTCATGTAGTTTGTTATTATTGGAAAACTTCATCAGGGTACACTTGATACCATCTTCCACTAAATTGTGCTGAGCCCAGTATCCATCCCTGGAGGACCTCACTTGTTGCTGGTTTGGACAGGAGTGATTTCCCACACCATTTTGGGTGCCTTGGGTCAGCCAGGTCCCCACTCACCCGACAGACCACTTGTCTAGACTGTAATGCAACAGTTTCTCCAGAGGAGGCTGTGGAAAGCAGTACCAAGAGCGCTATTGAAAGCCTTGGAAAAATCCAGGTAAACAATGTCCACTGCTTACCCCACATCAATTGAGCAGGTTGCTGTGTTGTAGAAGGTGACCAGGTTTGTCAAGCACAATTTGCCCTTGGTGAAACCACGCTGCCTTTTCCCAGTCATGCGCTTCATCTGACATTTGATAGCCTCCAGGAGGATTAGTTCTGTAACCTTCCCAGGGACAGCAGGAAGATCGATGGATCCATATTTTCCTGGACCCTCCTTTAAGTCCTTCTTGTAGATAGGGGTGACAATAGCTTTTTTCCAGCCTTCTGGAACATCCTCTTATCTCCTCAACTTCTAAAAGATTATGGAGACTGGCCTCACAATGACATCAGCCAGCTCTCTTGACACCCTTGGGGGGATACTGTCAGGGCTCATCAAATTG